AAGTGAGAAGTATGAGTTACCAATATCTTTCATTATATATGTCAAAGTTTGAGCTGATGCAGCAAAACATATTTCTTTCTGGACTTTTGGTGAAGTTAACTTCAGATTTGAGCTAGCATATTGAGATGCAACTATCTTAATTTGTTTCTACAAAAGAACAACTACCAAAGAAAAATAACCGTCAATCCTAAATCCTAAAATGAAATATAAATATTATGTTTCAATCAAAATAACCTCCATATCTATTATAAGTAAAAGTAAAATGAAAGGTTGTTGACCTGAAAACCACACCTTGCCCATACAGTTATGCAAACGACGTTTCAATTGTTTCTTAACAAAAGGTGCATTAAGTTGGAATTAGGTATGTTACCAACCATAAGCAATACAACCTAAACTTGCCAAATGTAATAATTTCTTGTATCAACTTCCTCTAGATTAATCTAATGTTTTTTTTAAATTCATCTACCGTAAAAATTAAATATAATTAGTTTTGAATTTGTTAGCCATTAATCTTAACATTCAAAGAAAGAAGATCAACGCATAAAAACTTCTACATATTGCAAAAATGAAAGAAGATCAACGCATAACAAACAATGCTATTTCTATTAAAAAAAATTAGGCTATCTCATATTCTCATTCCAAAAATGAAAGAAGATCAACTCATATTAGATGTTTTTTTCTCTTTTCTTTCCTTCTTATTGTTCATTTCGGTATGAAAATAGATATAGCAATTAGCAAAAAAATTTAAAAGCCACCATGAATCCATGAAAATGTGAAATACCACAAAACACACATCATTTGGGTATGAAAATCCATCAAAATAACAAAAAATCAAACAAAAAATAACAAACAGAACAATCAAAACTAACCTAGATCTCACTGAAGGGAAGTCTGAAGCCCTTGCGATTTGCGAATCTGCGATTCACGAAGCCGGTCAAGCCACGAAGCCACGAAGGAAGAGTATCCTGCCGACAAGGAATGAACGAAGCATGCGATTCACGAAGCCAGACGCGAACGGCGAATAACCGACCTTCAACACACGCGAAAAACCGAGCGGAGAGAAGCCCTGGCAGGCGACGGGCGTGACCGCGTGACTGAGCGGGGTTTTTTGTTCGTGGAATCGGCGGGTTAGGGCAAAGGGGGGGCAAAATAGCAAATTTATGGGGTCAAGTTACTAAATTACCCTCCTCTAATAAAAATTTTTTTTTTTTAAGGGGGGGCAATTACCCCCCCTAAGGCATGAACAGTTCCGCCCCTGTTCATATGGAATCTAATGAAACACATATTTTTTTAATATAAGGCACAAAATAGTCATTGAGTGAATCATCACTCATCCCATTACTTAATCGATGTTTGATAATTTTTATTGTAGAAGAGGATCTTCATTTTAGCAGTAACAACTAGCAAAGTTAATGCTAAGTAATAAATATGTAAACCAGGGGATACACACCATCCTTCTTGACCTTAATAATTTACTTTGTAAGATCAACAATGCTGTTTATAGAGGAGAACTCTTCATTAGTTTGTACAAACTTTTAAGAGCCATATTAATAAACTAATATTAAAAAATAAATAAAATGAGGACATAATTCTGAGCAAAATTTTGTATTTCATTGTGATAAGTAAATTAAAAAACATTACAATCTTATTAATCTATTTTGCATTTTTTGATAATATTGGATTGCATCTTCATTCGGAATCAAATAAAACACATCTTTTTCAATATAATGCACAAAATAGTCATTGAGTCAATCATCACTCATCCTACTATGCAATCGATGTTTGATAATTTTCATTGAAGAAAATGCTTTCAATTGTAGCAATAGCAACTAGAAAACTTAATGCTAAAGTAATAAGTCTATAAACCATAAGATACATACCATCCTTCTTGACCTTAACAATTTGTTTTGCAAGATCAGCATCGTTGCTTATAGAGGAGAACTCTTCACTAGTTTACACATCAATAATATAAATTGATAATTGACTTTTAAGAGTCATAACCTCAATTATTGAAAAATCACTTGGATCCCTCTACCAGATGTATCAATTTTCTCTCATCATAAGCACGAAAGAATAACTTAGGTTTAAGCATGACACACAAAGAAGTAACTCAGTATTAGATTGAAAAAAGTGTTTACTTAGCTCTTGAAGTTGTCAGTTGATTACTATATAAAATAACTCAACACAATAATGATGTAGATTTATTATTTCTTCAACCCTTTACATTGATCTACAATAAGTTTTGTATGTAACATTTATGTTTGGAACAACAACTTCAAAAACACCACAAAAATATGACACTTCATCCAGTAAAGCATTCTATCCATTCTCCCTTAGTATTTATAGTCATTATTTAGATATTTGCACCAATTTCATCACATTTTTAATATATGTATCTTTTATTTGCGATGATTGTGATAACTAATTCGTAATATCCAAGATATTAATTATAAATTCATTGTGAAAACAAAATCAAAAGACTCCATTATATCAATCAAAATATATACTTAAACTAATTGTTGATAATGTACCCTTCTTCCTTAACAATCTCTAGCATTTCGATTACAGGATCATACATACCCATGAGACTAATTAAAGAATGAAAATATGAACTACATCATCACTAGATTTTTATAAATTGATCTCTTACGTTAAACCTTGATCGCTTATGAGATTGTCATTTTTAAGATGCAAATGAATTTTATCATGCTGATAACTTTAAGATCATCTAATTTCTTTCACAAAGCACCAATAGTATTTATAATTCTAAAAGTTAACTCAAAAAGATGTTTTACTTGCCAATAATTTTTTGCTACTGCTACTTAGAATAATTATAGTTGATGAATGAAATAGTGAATATAAAATACTTTAGGATTATCATTTAGAATTAGTACCTTTAAACCATGGAATTCCCCTTGCATATTGGATCTCCCATCAAAATCTTGACAGCATATCCTCTATATACTCAATTAGTATTTGGTGAGTATGCCTTTAATGCTTGCCTTCAATTTAATTACATTAGTGGATGTGACGTATTTGATACCTATAAATCTTTTAAAGACTTGTCCTAACTTATCAACATATCTCACCACTATAGCTAGTGGTTCATTCATAGAAACATCAACAGATTCATCTACTATAATTAAGAAATATGCGTCATCAATATCTTCCATGATAGATATTAAGGTTTCAATAGCTGCAACACAATATATTCCTTTTTGGACCTTTAGTGAAGTTAACTTTAGATTTGAGCTTGTATATGTAGTTTGTGGGAATAGATGGCTTCTCGATTGATGGGGTCCCTTCAATAGATATCCTATCTAAATCTTATCTCTATTATTTACATCATAACTTCAAATTGGAAGATGGAGTCCATGATATGCTGGGAGATTTATTGGATTCAAAATTAAAATTTTGGAATGATTTAGAAGAATAAATATACAAGATACCCCTTGAACAAAGAGTTTTTATTAGAGGAAATTTAAATTGGCATGTTGGTAAAGAGATAGATGATTTTAAAAGCATGCATGGTGGCCATGAGTTTGGTATAACAACTGAAGGTGGTAAGACCATATTAGATTTTCTTTAGCTTATAATATTATAATCGTGAATACCTTATTTCAGAAAAGAGATGATCATCTTATCACTTATAAAAGTAGATATAGTAAAATATAGATTGGTTATTTTCTTATAAGAAAATTAGACCATTTAGATTATAAAGATTATAAAGTTATTTCGAGTGAAAATTTATGTATGCAACATCGATTATTAGTTTTGAACTTTAAGATAAAAGAATAAAAAATAACAAAATAAAGTAAAATAATTTTTTAGGATTAGATGAAGACATTT